GCGAAATTGTTCAGAATATAATGAAACGGTTCTCGACTCGTCAGAATCAGCTTCAGACCTTCAGAACGCCTTTAGCCCTCACTTATCGCCTCTCACCTACCGCTCCCTCCTATCGCCCCTCACTTATCGCCTCTCACCTACCGCACCCCACCTATCGCCTCTCACCTATATCCTTTCACCGATCGCCCTTCACCTATCGCCCCTCACTTATCGCCTCTCACCTATCGCCTCACACCTCTCGCCTCCCACCTATCGCCCCTCACTTATCGCCTCTCACCTGCCGCTTTCCACCTATCGCGCCTCACCTGTCGCTCCTCACCCATCCCTCCTCACCTAACGCCTCTAACCTATATCCTTTCACCTATCGCCCCTCACCTATCGCTTCTAGCCTGTCGCCTCTCACCTAACGTCTTCACCTATCGCCTCTTACCTATATCCTTTCACCTTTCGCCCTTCACCTATCGCCCCTCACTTATCGCCTCTCACCTATCGCCTCACACCTCTCGCCTCTCACCTATCGCCCCTCACCTTTCGCTTCTCACTTTTCGCCTCCCACCTACCACATCCCACCTATCGCTTTTCACCTCTCGCCTCTCACCTATCGCCCCTCACCTTTCGCTTCTCACTTATCGCCTCTCACCTTTCGCTTCTCACCTATCGCCTCTCACCTAACGCCCTCACCTATCGCCTTTTACCCATATCGTTTCACCGATCGCCCCTCACCTGTCGCTCCTCACCTGTCGCCCCTCACCGATTTCCCATCACCTGTCGCTCCTCACCTATCGCCCGTCACCTACCGCCCCTCACCTATCGCCCTCACTTATCGCCTCTCACCTATCGCCCCTCACCTGTCGCTCCTCACCTGTCGCCCCTCACCGATCTCCCATCACCTGTCGCTCCTGACCTAGCGCGTTTCACCAATCTTNCCCTCACTTATCGCCTCTCACCTATCGCCTCACACCTCTCGCCTCTCTCCTATCGCCCCTCACCTTTCGCTTCTCACTTATCGCCTCCCACCTACCGCATCCCACCTATCGCTTCTCACCTACCGCATCCCTCCTATCGCTCCTCACCTACCTATCCTCACCTTTCGCTTCTCACCTGTCCCCTCTCACCTATCGCTCCTCACCTAACGCCCTCACCTATCGCCTCTTACCTATATATTTTCACCGATCGCCCCTCATCTATCGCCCCTCACCTATCGCCTCTTACCTATATCCTTTCACCGATCGCCCCACATCTATCGCCCCTCACCTGTCGCCCATCACCTAGCGCATCCCACCTATCGCCTCTCACCTAACGCCCTCACCTATCGCCTTTTACCCATATCTTTTCACCGATCGCCCCTCACCTGTCGCTCCTCACCTGTCGCCCCTCACCGATCTCCCATCACCTGTCGCTCCTGACCTAGCGCGTTTCACCAATCTTCCCTCACCTGTCGCTCCTCACCTATCGCCCGTAACCTACCGCCCCTCACCTATCGCCCTCACTTATCGCCTCTCACCTACCGCATCCCACCTATCGCCTCTCACCTACCGCATCCCTCCTACCGCTCCTCACCTTTCGCTTCTCACCTGTCCCCTCTCACCTATCGCTCCTCACCTAACGCCCTCACCTATCGCCTCTTACCTATATATTTTCACCGATCGCCCCTCATCTATCGCCCCTCACCTGTCGCCCCTCACCTTCCGCATCCCACCTATCGCCTCTCACCTATCGCCCCTCACCTTTCGCTTTTCACCTATCGCCTCTCACCTATATCCTTTCACCGATCGCCCCTCATCTGTCGCCCCTCACTTATCGCCTCTCACCTGTCGCCTCACACCTGTCCCCTCTCACCTATCGCTCCTCACCTAACGCCCTCACCTATCGCCTCTTACCTATATATTTTCACCGATCGCCCCTCATCTATCGCCCCTCATCTGTCGCCCCTCACCTACCGCATCCCACCTATCGCCTCTCACCTATCGCCCCTCACCTTTCGCTTTTCACCTATCGCCTCACACCTGTCCCCTCTCACCTATCGCTTCTCACCTAACGCCCTCACCTATCGCCTCTTACCTATATATTTTCACCGATCGCCCCTCATCTATCGCCCCTCACCTATCGCCCTTTACCTTTCGCTTTTCACCTATCGCCTCTCACCTACCTCTCCCACCTATCGCCCTTCACCTTTCGCTCCTCACCTGCCGCCTCTCACCTACCGCCTCTCACCTATCGACTCTCACCGATCGCCCCTCACCTATCGCCCCCCACTTATCGCCTCTCACCTATCGCCCTTCACCTTTCGCTCCTCACCTACCGCCTCTCACCTATCGCCTCTCACCTTACGCCTCTCACCTATCGCCTCTCACCCATCGCCCCTCACCTTTCGCTTCTCACCTATCGCCTCTTACCTATATGCTTTCACCGATCGCCCCTCACCTATCGACTCTCACCGATCGCCCCTCACTTATCGCCCCTCACTTATCGCCTCTCAACTGCCGCACCCCACCTATCGCCCCTCACCTTTCGCCTTTCACCTATCGCCTCTCACCGAACGCCCTCACCTATCGCCCCTCACTTATCGCCTCTTACCTACCGCATCCCACCTCTCGCCCTCACCTGTCGCTCGTCACCTATCGCCCTTCACCGATCCCCCCTCACCTGTCGCTTCTCACCTATCGCCTCTTACCTATATCCTTTCACCGATCGCCCCTCACCTATCGCCCCTCACTTATCGCCTCTTACCTACCGCATCCCACCTCTCGCCCTCACCTGTCGCTCGTCACCTATCGCCCTTCACCGATCCCCCCTCACCTGTCGCTTCTCACCTATCGCCTCTTACCTATATCCTTTCACCGATCGCCCCTCACCTATCGCCCCTCACTTATCGCCTCTCACCTACCGCTCCCACCTATCGCACCTCACCTGTCGC